GATGAATGGCACTTACCACATTGTGGTTTCAGGCACCGAAGGCATCTGACATCAATAGTTCTTACTTTCCCCACTTGAATCACAACAAAATCAAACAAGATTTTGAATCACTGCACTGTGCTTTTACAATGAAAAAAACAACTTTTTAAAAAAAATTAGAGATAGGGATCCCGCTATGTTGCTCAGGCTGGCCTCAAACTCCTGGCCTCAAGCAATCCTCCCACCTCATCCTCCCAAAGTGCTGAGATTACAGGCATGGCCAAAAAATAAAAACTTCTTAAAAACACTGAAGTTAATTTTCTGATATGCCTGTTCTTTGTGGCAAATAACTATAATGCCAAGGCATTGTTCCAAATTAGGCATCTGCTACAATTTTAAAATAAAATTTTATTAAAATTCTAATATTTTGCTCTGCAGACACACTGATTTTACCATATTTCCCTAGTTCTCTACAACGGTATCTTCATATGAAGATTCAAAGAAGAGTTGAGAATCAAATCTGGTCGCTAGATCAGGACTGTTTGACTACTTTCTCCTTTCTATTATATTCCTTTCCTCATATCCTAGTAAATAAAAAAAATTAAGAGTTATAAAGCACGACTAGTAAATCATAAAAAAAATATGTGATTTTAAAAGATAGAGAAAAAGAAAAAAAGTCAGTCACATTCATCTCCCCAGTTTTGTAGGGGAAGCACCAGCCCTGGGTTTGGTTTTCCCACTGCCTGGGTTAATCATGTGTTCTACAGGGATGCCCCATGCAAATATATACTGTGTTTAGGATCAAGGAAACCTAAAGTGTTCAAGGTCCCTTTAAGTAAATTTAAACCATCAACTGTTCACATGCAAGAGCTTTAGTCATCTTGAAGTTTAAAAACAGGTTTATTACATAAAAGCAGACTAATCCAGATCATCCTAAAAATTTCTAACATAGTTCACCAACACTATGAATTTCATGTCGTAAGGATACCAGCTTACATATATTTAAATAAACCAAATTTATCTCTAAAGGATCTCCATCCACCATACAAGTTATTTTGATTAACAGAGATTTCTTAAAATCCAGTAAATTCTAGACATGCCACGTTAAGCAGCTACCACTGAGCTCCTTCTTTGAAGCCATACCACCTACTATTAGTCAATTCTATGATGACCCATCAAATTTACAAAGAAATCTCAAACAATAAAGCAATCTAGTACAACAGGGCATACCACTGCAACACTACCCCACCCTCCCAACATCCCTTTAGGTAACTATCATCACCCTTTTTTTTTTTGAGTTGGAGTCTCACTCTGTCGCCCAGACTGGAGTGCAGTCGCACAGCTCACGGTCACTGCAGCCTCGACCTGCTGGGGCTCCAGCAATCCTTCTACCTCAGTCTTCCAGGCAGCTGGAACTACAGGCACGCTAGTTTTTTATTTATTGTAGAGAAGAGGTCTCACCAACTTGCCGGGTGGGTCACCCTTTTTAATGTCGAGTTCTAAGGAGCCCAGAGGTCAAGTAACTGGCCGAAAGGCCTCACGCCCAGGTTTAACTACAAAGCCTGAGTTCTGCTGCTCCTAGGACTGGTTCATAAATTTTATTCTCAATTGGACTAAAAAGCTGACTTCTTTTTATACATCCATCTCTACAAGGACTTTTATGAAGGCTCTGCTTACTGTTTCAGAACTCTGGACATTCCTTATTAACACAACAATGTCTTTTTAAAAAAATATATTTACAGCTTTATCTAAATGACAGTATGTTATCTAAGTGACAGCATATAGGGGACAGAGAGGGCCCAAGGACTCTAAATTTCAAGAGAATTGCAATGAACAGTCAGCACACTGACATCAGCAAAACTGTAGAGATTTAATAACTTCAATGCTGATCAGCTACAAAACTGTTGGACAGATTTCCTACTGCACATAAGCATAGTCAACCCAAAAATACCAAGTAAAAGCAATTACAGCAAACCTAACTAAAATCAAAGTTCAAGCCTTATAAATCCTGAAACAATTTGCATGAAAAGCCTGTTGAAAATAATTTTTATTCTCAGAAACTGTTAAAATAACCCCCCAAATTCATACTTTAAAAATCTTTTTCAAGATTCAAGTCTGTTTGTTTCATCTCAAGCCAAGAGTCCGGGTTTCACAAGCTGTCATTTAATCAGAAGCTGAGTCCCACCGGCTTCACAGACTTCCGTGAGGTCCTTTATCTGGAACTGCTAAAAGCTTCCTCTGTACTCTGTGACCTAATATGCAGCAGAACAATAGAAGTAGGTTTCCTTGTCTAACCACTATCCTGATATTAATAAGAAAGTGTGAGCTTAAAGGAATGCTTTCACATACACAAGATCTTTCTTTCAAGTCCCAATTTATAATGTGAATCCTTAATCTTACAAAAGGCACATAAATATTTGCTAAGAGAAGAATGATCTGATAACTATGATCTGGAGAAAAGAACTGAACTGTAATCTTAGTTTGGTAATTTAACTAGGTGTGAAAACAGTGGACTTTCTCCCTTTACGTAAAAGCTTTCTCGGGAGGACCAACGAGGTCTCAGTCTACATAACAAGGGCCCTTGAAGAAAGACAGGTTCTCAAGAACAGAGGCTCCTAGACAGAAGGGGGCGGGGAGGGAGCTAAGGGCATTCCACAGCAACAAAGAGGGCCCAAAATAAAGTTCAACCAAGAAATGCCTTCTTGCCTTATGGGTAAGCACAATGCACATATTTACACAGTTTTATTATGACTGAATGAGTAAACATCTTTGTCAACTTCCAAACCAAGAAATGATTCTGGATGATGAAGACACCTCGGATAAATTAACTTTAAAAGCTGAATTTTAGTTAACTGCCTCATTTCTTTCCTCATACAAAAAAGACTGGCAAAGGATAAAATCAAGTTTTTTTTTTAACCTGTTTTTGATAAACATGCTTTCTCCAAGGCACCATTTAAGTTAAACAGCCTGACCCTTAAGTGGATAGAGTAAGACTGAGGCAAAAGACCCTATGAAAATGGCTAGCACTATCTTTATATGGAATACTGGCTTCTGGATCACCAAAAGCTTGAGAGTTATGTTTTAAATGTGCAACTGCTCTTTATCTCCCATATATACTTAAAAGGAGTTCCTCTTTCTTAACCAGTGAGCTCACTAGTTAGGATTAACTCAAAGATTTCTTTATTCTTCTTGGTTTAATATATCTTGATCAAGAATCCATCTCAATTAAACAAGAAAAATAATCTCTTTGGGATGGAAAGACAAACCCCCGAGCTATGTCTGATCTTGTACACAGAATTTAACCCTAGGTACCATGATTCATATGCCACATTTCTAAACATATACCTATCCTCCAAGATCAGAATCTGAAAGAAAAATCTGCACAAGTTGCTTCAAATTACCAATTTTTTATGCTTTATGTATGTCAAGATGTTATATATTTATGGATTAATTTTTCTGTTTTGTTCTACAATACCCCAACAAAACTCAGCTTTTTATAATTCATAACTCCATAAAAATGAATGGAATAAAAACCATGTAAGAGGTGTATAAACAGACACATTTCTATAAGTTCCTATAAAGAATCGATTTTTCAAAATACATAATTACGTACAAAGTCATCTGGAAACTTCTTGAATTCCCTTCACACTCTTTATCCACTAACCTACTCTGGTGCTAATTTTCCATTTCAGTGCCAATATCTTCAAATATCAACATCATTATCTTTCCATACAATCTTTCATTAACTTCCCAGGTTCCTTCTGTGGCTCTTACCTGGGTTGCACATACAGTCACTCTTCTAATCTATTAGATCAGAAAACACAATTCACCTTACAAATATTTGATCTAAGGCAGTGGCAGAAATTCAGTACTACGTTATACAGTACAATGATAACATTTAACACTTTTACTAAAGGGCATTCAATGACATAACCTGGGTAACTCTGGAAGCAATTATATGTAGCTATCATTGTCGATTTGTTTGAAAATATGTTTTTACTGGAGACAGTATTTCCACATTCTGTACCCAATTAACATTATTCTAAAATAACACTTGATCCCAACAGTATTTCCAAAACAGTTACAAGACTTGAAATGAAATTTTTAAAAAATCATAAAAATAGGGATTCTAAAACCTGGGTTTGTGCCTCTGCCTATAATTAAGCTGTGTCACCCTGGGTAAGTCATTTGACCCCAAGACCCCCTATATTTTCAACTACAAAGCAAAACAAAAAAGGGAACTAAATTATCTTTAAGGTCTCTTCCAGCTACAAAATTCTATGAAATGTCAGTCTCTCGCCATTTCAAAGATAAGCTGCAGATGATAAAGGCAAATTAGCCTAGATTTATTTTTCTTTTTTAAAGAAATCTTGGGATGCATTTTGGGTTAAAGTTTTATTTAGGAAAACAAATCCCAAATGAAAACAATGTTGAAAAAATGTAGAGAGAGAGAGAGAAAAAAAAGGAAATCATACACTGACGTAACTAAAATAGAAACTTCAATCACCCTTAAGCCAGTTTGTCGATAGTTATTCAAAGGCTGCTACTCTAATCACTGGCTTCCTAAAATAGAAATATTTATAGTTGTTTCCTTCTCATCCCCAGAGATACATTCCGAATAAAAAGCACAGCGTATAAAATCAATTTACAACTTCAGAATAAGTTGCAGGAAGCGAAGGAAACTCAGCACAGCTCACCAAGTCATTTGCATTTAAGTATGATGAGAGCTAAGAAACGGTTCTTATTATAAGATGTGAGAAACGCACAAGAGGCAGGTGACATCTGGAAAGGGAAGCAGAGCTGCTAGGAAGGAATACAAGCTGAGGACCTTTGGGCAACAGGTCCACAGCCGGTACCGCAGCCTACCCCGGGAGGGGTCGATCGCTGCCACATCGCTTGCGGAGCTCCCCAACCCCAGCGGCATCGCCTCGCC